GCACTGTCACTGCCTTTGAAGAGAACTGGTTGTATGTCACTTGAGACAATTTGCTTTTCAGCTGTGTGAAGTTACCGCCCCCTAGTAATATTCAATATTTTTGGTACTTTAAAAGCCTTCAGTCTTTTTGACTATGCCGATTTATGAAATCTGCTGTTAGGATAATTTGCTTGGGCTGTACTACTGATCTGGAAACACACTTCTTTTCTTTAGGTGCAATGTTTAAATACCACTGACCTGTTTTTTGTCAGAATTATATTTAAATACTAGATAAAATCTAAAATCTGGTACTATCTGAGAAGTCATTTCTTTTAATGATTTTAGTAAAGAGATATTAAATAACTTTATTACTGACCAAAAGGAAAATATAGTGGAAATTATCGTTATTATTAGCCTTTTAAATTTCAAAATTGCTTTCTGGTTTCCTAAAGATGCTTATTAATAAATTAAGTCCTACTAGAAACATGGAAAAAAGGCTTTCTTAGTGACCTGTGTGATTAAAGTATCCTGATGAAGTCATATTATGCTTTGTTTTTGGACTGTGTACGGACAGGACTAAAATGTTATTCAATCTTTACTTAGATCCATAGATCCTAATTACAGCTGTACCAATCTTGCTCAAGGATTTAGCATGGTATATGCATTACGTTCTGATAGAAATAAAGTAGCTCAGTATTTGATTACTGGAGGAAGTATTGGAATATGGTAATCACATATTTGACTTTATCTGCAGCTATAAAGCACTTAAGTTGGGTGGAGATGGCAAAACTTTTTTTTGCCCCCAGCAGTCTCATTGGAATTAACCTCCCAGCAAGCAAGTCCAGCAAGTAGTCTGCTGATTTTGTAACAAGGAGAAAAAGTTGTAAAAGAAACTGCACTACAAAATAAACTGAATAAAATTAAGGGCATCTTTCCACTGGGGTGTTATGTCCCATCAGAAAATAGAATAGTTTTACTACAGTATTCCTCCCACCAAAAAGCCTCAGCTGACACAAATAAGTGACTACATAGCTGAGAGAGGCTGGAGAATTCATTAGTAGTAGTTTTTGAGATTAGACTGCAGAGTTTAAGGTAGAAGCAATAGGATGCTATCTCTTGTTATTTCTGCTGGTTGCTTTGTTCATATGGCCCTCATGCTCTTATTCAAGCCTAAGGACAATTTAAATGTTGATCAAAAAAAAGGTGTCATATTAATTTATCATTTACCAACAGTCCTGGCTCACTGGGGAGGTCCCAGATGACTGGAAGTTGGCGAATGTCATGCTGATCCACAAAAAGGGTTGCAAGAAGGACCTGGGGAACCACAGACCTGTCAACTTGACCTCAGTGCCTGGCAAAGTTATGGAGCAGATCATCCTCAGTGCAATCACACAGCACCTACAGGATGGACAAGGGATCAGACCCAGCCAGCACGGGTTTAGGAAGGGCAGGTCCTGTCTGACCAACCTAAACTCCTTTTATGATCAGGTGACCCGCCTGGTGGATGAGGGGAAGGCTGTGGATGTGTCTGCCTGGACTTCAGCAAAGCCTTTGACACTGTCTCCCATAGCATTCTCCTGAAAAAGCTGGCAGCCCATGGCTTGGACAGGGGCCCTCTGTGCTGGGTCAGGAACTGGCTGGAGGGCCGGGCCCAGAGAGTGGTGGTGAATGGGGCTGCATCCTGTTGGTGGCCGGTCACTAGTGGTGACCCCCAGGGATCAGTGCTAGACCCAGTTCTGTTTAATATCTTTATTGATGATCTGGATGAAGGGATTGAGTGTACCATTAGCAAATTTGCAGATATTGATACAAATTCAGAATTTCTTCTTAGCATTGTATTTTTAAAACCTACACATGGCTGGGAAAATCAGACTCCATACCTGTAGGAATGCCCCTTGTTTACTTCTTCTGGAAAATGGACCCCTTTCTTAACTCTTGAGTACATGAGTTGTATTTCTTTTCAATTGTTAGAGAATAAATAAGACACTAATTAAAACCTTGAGGCAAATTTCCAAACTTCCTCCCACAGCAATATCCAGATCCATACAAATTTGTATGAGTCAGACAAGTGCTTGATGAGATTCAAACCAACACACAGCATTTTGTTTTTCTGTAACCTAAAGCAACTATAAACTAGAGTTGGGTTTTTTTTCCAATTAAAAAATATGAAACATACTCTCATTATTTTAATAAAGCAGAGTGTTTCAATCAAAACTATGAACTATAAATTAATGAGTGCCTTTTAAACTCTGGACACATGTGGAACTGAAAGGCCTATTACAGAAGTTGAAAATCTGTATTAAATGAATACACCCACTACATCTATTGAATTGGCAAGATAATAAATGTGCAACCCTCTCTTTTACTTCTGAACAACACATTGTTCATATTAATAACATAGTAATTAGCTGAGAGTTTTATGAGACATTGTAAATATACTTCAGCTACACTTTTCAGTTACTTTTGGACCGTGTTTGATGGTGTAAGTATCATGTTGCCAGTCTGGTCTGGGTGCTCATCCTGTGTGGTTTAGGCTTTCATGGCATTTACTTTTATGGCTTTAACAGGGTTATGGCTGCAAAAGTTAGAGAGGTGGGTACTTTGTGACTTATTTCATTAAGCTATGTGCTGGATAACGCATAAACATGTGACATTTCCAGTCTCTAAATGTCATATCAAGTAATGGAAGAAATTGGTTGGCTTGGAGTAGGTCCATCCTAGCAGTGAGATAAAGAAACATTGTCTTGCCTATTTTTGAGTGTCAGGGTGTTTCTAAGGTTTCCACCTTTGTCTCTGCCCAAGCTTCCTGTGGCCAAGTGGTGTCTCTCATGTCTCTGTAGAATCACAAAGTGTTACTAAACTATAGTCATGACAAGTAGAAACAAGTGAATTGATTTTTCTTGGCAGATCTGTGACATCTATGTTCCTTTCAAATAGGATGGGCTGGAGAATCCTTTATCCCTCTACAGGCTTGTACCTTCAGTCTTACCTCCTTTTTATGTGAGATCTCTGTAGTTACAAGTTTTATTAAAATGTGTAACAATTAGCTGGTAGCAGTGGATACCTGTTGTGTTCTGTAAGTGAATTTTGAGTGTATTTGCCATTGCAGTTTCCCCAGGTTAGATATTCTCAATGGAGAAGGTCAACACAAACATCAGTTGAGTATGTTTGCCTTTCATAATCAATGTTATGTCAGAATTTTAGGCAACTGGTGGCATTCAGCCCACAGCAAAGATGCTCTGCAAGTAGAAAGCATGGTTTTATTGATTATAAAGCTGATTCACGCCTTGTGTTTTTGATCCTCACATGTTATGTGGGGATTTCCTCCCTCCTTGTTCCATAAGCTATTACAGAGTGTCCAAAGAAGGGCAACAAAGATGGTGAATGGCCTTGAGGGGAAGCTGTATGAGGAGCGGCTGAGGTCACTTGGTCTGCTCAACCTGGAGAAGAGGAGACTGAGGGGAGACCTCATTGCAGTGAACAACTTCCTTGTGAAGGGAAGAGGAGGGGCAGACACTGATCTCTTCTCTGTGGTGACCAGTGACAAAACCCGAGGGAATGGCCTGAAGTTGTGTCAGGAGAGGATTAGGTTGGGTGTTAGAAAAAGGTTCTTTACTCAGAGGGTGGTTGGGCACTGGAACAGGTTCCCCAGAGTACCAAGCCTGAGAGAATTCAAGAAGCATTTGCATGAGACTCTCAGGCACATGGTATGACTCTTGGGGATGGTCCTGTGCAGAGTTAAGAGTTGGACTCAGTGGTCTTTATGGGTCCCTTCCAACTCAGCATATTCTGTGATTCTATGATTCTGTGATTTGTTTATTACCATAAACACTGTCTACATTGTATTTGATTGGTAAAGTTTTTCTAAAGCCAAATATGCTTTTATTATGGCTTAAGAGTTAAGAGAAGAGGTATGGAAGAACCAAAACGTATTACGTTGTATTTTTTATGTGCTAGTGGCTTTTACACCTGTTTTTCCCATTCCCTTTCTTCCTGATTGCTTCTTCTGATAAGAAGTGACAGAAAGTGGCAAGCAGGCCAATGCTGTGGATGTTTACACTAATGTCTGATAGCTACAAAGCTATATATATTCATGGGAGGGAAAAATGACATTTCCACCACATACAGGGGTCATATAGAGGCCTTTGAAAGCTAATACAGGACTGAAAACATTACATGACAGACAACTGCTGTATCTGAGTTAATACTAGGGTACTTGCCCAGGCGTGCCAGCCAAAGGGGTTAAAACAAGAAGTTTCTGGTCCAACATGATGGACTCTGTTTCTATAAATGTTGTAGGTTCAGTAAGTGAGACCGGCCATGCTTAAAAGGCTGTGTTGGCCTTGTGTTCAGACTCCCTTGGCAGAGCGAAGTTCTCATTTATTTAACTGGGCAACTATTACAGCAACATTTTACAAATTAAATGCAATTGTATAAACCAAGATTTTTCAAGAGGCAAGGTTGTAGGGTAAAGTGACTTAAATGACTGTGACTGCCAAGTCACAAGCAGGTTTTGTTTATTTTGAATAATTTTATGTCACTTTTAGATTTTTAGTTATATCTATTAGTTGATGGTATTATTTTTTTGCCCACTGTCTCCTGGGCAGCCTGCAACAACCCTTTCCCTTTATCTTCCTCAACTTTTATTCTTTCATCTTAAAAACCAATCAACAACCAAAAAAGGGAAACATGTCCATGTTTCATATTGCTCATTTCTCTGTGATTTGCAGACCAAATCTATTTACCCTGTAAGTACAAGAACACTTTTTAACTTGAAGCTCTGCCAGCAGAAATTCAGAATCTCAGATGAGCATCAGGATGAGGCTTACTGACAAGTACAGGCATTAATCTATATCGTGCATACCACTTGGAGCTGGAAAAACAGTGAATGATAGAGCTTTGTAAAAAGCCTGAACCACTAGACTGTGTATACTTTGCAGTTTTGTTTTTCATGTATACTTTGCAGTTTTGTTTTTCATGAGGATGTTGAATCTAAAACCAGTGTTTCTCTTATGTTTTAGGTGCTGTAGCAGTTCTGATCCCTCGCCTAGACCTGGTGATTTCTTTCGTTGGAGCCGTCAGCAGCAGCACTCTGGGACTGATTCTGCCACCTCTGGTTGAAATCCTCACTTTCTACAAGGAAAACTTAAGTTTATGGACGGTATTTAAGGACGTTTTTATAGCTGTTATTGGATTTGTTGGATTTTTAACAGGGACATATGTGACGGTTGAAGAAATCGTTTATCCCGCATCCGCAGTTCTAGCTAACGCAACAGAGAGCTTCCCTGCAGATTTAAATGCTACAAACTTGGTGGTTGGTTTAAAGTAATAACGAGGAGCTGTGAACTGTTTCGTTCCTTAACAAGAAATTCTTGACTCAGGACCTGCTTTCAACTACTGGTACTGTGTAGAGAGGTAGTTCGTTAGAGATGTAGGGTATACATGTGAAAATACGTTATTTTTTTAGAAAATAATGATATATCCCTTCTGGACTCTGGATGAAACGTTACAGGATGTTGTTTATCAGAGCAATATTAGTTTCATGATGCAAAAACATTCAACACCACAGATGATAAACAGTTTATTTTTGTACATTTTTTGGTAACTGTTATCCTGACCCATTTTTTACACCATTTCTTTATCCTTGATTTCAACTATACAAATGTATAAAATATTATATTTTTTGTTACCTATTGCTAGAAGTCTGTAGACTGCATATCTTTATTTCTGTTGGAACATATAATAATTGGCTTTGGATTCTTTTGTTCTGCCTTAAATAGTATCTAACATGCCCTTTATATATTTTTGCTTCTTTTGTCTATTTTAGAAGAAAAAAAGAACAAGTTGATAAGTTGGTAAATGGGCAGAAATGGGTTTTGTTAGCAAGCCTGTGTGCTGAGTCCCCAGCTGCAATCCGGATTTTCAGAGTTCATACTTGACTTTCTGTCTCACACTTCATAGATGACTTTCCCTCCAAATGTTGAAGCTCTATTTTTGGTCTTGTTTTCTAAAACCCCCCTGTATTTTGTACAATAATAGAACTATTTATCATACTCATTCCCGTTCTGAAGAAACTTGTTTTTAATTATAACATTCCTCCAAGAAATATGGTATGCCAAAACCTCTCCAATGTAGTCATACAAATTAAGATAGAAATATATGTAATATTTTGCTTGCCTTCAGTATATTCCTCAGAAATCTACCATTTGGTAATCTACCATTTGGCATTACAGTGCTAGAGTAATATACTACTAAATATATCTATATTTATGTTTTCTTTTCAGAATATTTCCCTTGTCATCTACCATCTGGTGACTGTAATGAGCACTTTCATCTCCGTGTTGATGAGGGCATTTCTGATAGGGATTCGTTATAGCATGTAGTTTAAACTGCATGTATTTGTTCAAGCAATAGTTTTGAGTAATGCTCTAATTTTCATTTTAGCATGGACAAAGTAAAATACTTGGCAGGCACTTTAAAAGGAGGAGTCTCTGCAGGTGCTTTCTTGTGAAAGTGCCACAGAGGAGCAAATACAGGTAGTTAGCAGACACAAAAGGTAATTTCAGCTTTTCATCTTAAAGGGTGTTTAGTCTTTAAGCTGTTTTAAAAGACTTGGAATCTAAGTATTTCCATCTGTTTCATAATGAATCTGTTGTTTACCGAAACTATACACTACACACCGATAAGAATATATTTCTGTGCAGCATATTTTACTTGACATTAAATACTTGTACATGGAACATTTTTAGTAGACTGAGAGGATTTAAACACAAGTTATTTTTCCTGCGAGTTTTTCATCTTTCTCCGTGTGTGTTTGGAGAATAAAGGACTTTCAAATCCATTCACACTGTTTGTTCTGCATCAATTGTGTTGTAGTGAGCAGCTCTGAGAAAGTGCTTCTACCAGGGTGCAGAAAGACTTGAGCAGTTCAGAGTTGGGTGGTTAATTTGGCAGGTGCCAGTGAATACTGCCATGGTACTATCGATGAAGATTTGCTGACCTGGGTACCTGCAACTTAAAGAGGTGGCCTTGGTGCCCAGTGAAGGTACCATATCTTTTTGAAAGGCTGTAACTTGTTTAGAAGCTTGATAGGTTTGAGGGGTCTAAACTTAGCCATCAGACTTTGGATAACCTGGCCCAAATACAAAACCATACACATCTTACTGCCATGTCTGACAGCAGTGCAACCTGTCAGGGCGCAGATTTTCAGACAAGTGTGTTGCCACTGACTGACCAGGTATGAAGTAGTGTGTTTATGCAGTGGGCCAGTGTTGCCACGTCTAACAATGTTGTCTCATTTGAATCCTGAAAATGTTTATTAAGATATTTTGCACAATGTAAATTTTCTCCTACAGTGTAGGATTTTTGTTATTTTAACACTCATACAATGCATTTGCATGGCCTGCTCTTTCGAATAGAAAGAATCAGGCATCAGAGTATCTTAGTTTGGATAAGATTAAAATGTCACGTTGTAAAAAACTAAGTCTGACTAATGAGAGTGTCCTGTGAAGCATTGCCAAAGATTTAAAAGATAGGAAATTCTGACAGAAACACCTCTTCTGAATAGGAATGTTGATTCAGCTTTTATAGTACTGTAGTAATAGCTGTAAGTTAAGAGGCAGGGAGTGAAACTGAGAGATTTCATAGGTATGGTTTACATTAATATATATTTAAGATGGAAATGTACTTTAGCACAAGCTGAATTAAACTGAAAAATGTATGTGGTTGGCTTATGTTCCTGACAAGGAACAGAAAGCTATTGTATTTATATACTGTACATGAACTTATATTTTACAATATCATATTGTTATTACAGTTTTAATGTAATTTAATAATTAGCTGCACTACAAGTAACTGGATCATTTTCTTGTCTGTAACTGTTCATCCTCAAGTACTGGGCAAGTAAGAGGGTGGGTTTGCCTAATGTTCTGTAAAACTTAAATCTTCTATATCAATAAAGACTACAAATTACCGTGCAAACTCACTGTTATCCTGGCTGTCACCAGTACTGTGTCACTAGAAGAAGTAGGTGTCCTAATGCAGAATTTGCCTTTGAAATTATCCAAGGAATGGCAAGTGAGTGACTTGAGACTGTCAGACAAGCTCTAGAGCTGACTTTTCATTGATAATAAATCTCATCTCAAAGTCACATAAGCATTCCTGAAAAATCCCACCTCTGCTCCAAGGTTTTTCATTAGAGCACAGTTAAAGTTAGGCTTCTGCCTAACTTTATCTTTTTAGAGGTGCTTTAGAAAATAAGTAAGTTAACATTGTAAAATTTACAATCTACAATTTACATTGTAAAATGTAAAAAGGGATGCAGGTGTCCCCACTGAAATTCCTGTTCCTATTTGGAAAACCACAAAGAAATATGAATCCTTTTTTTTTTTAAATTGGACAAGCCCTCACATATTTGCTTTGGACTTGGCCTTATCTGTAAGTATGGAGTGCTGTGTCAACATGTTGTGGGAAAGTGTTACTTGAAAAACTATCAACTGGAAGTGAGGAATGAGATTAGTTGATGAAAACCTTGAAGGATTCCACTCAGTTCATTTTAGGTAGAGTAGGAGGTAAGAAAGTGGAAAAGTGATTATTTTATTCATTTTATATTAAAATGTTTCCAGGTGATCTGGAGAAGCAGTAAATATCACTACCATTCTATAATTGCTGGAATGTATTATAAGCCTTGTCAGACCTCCCATTCTTCTGCTTTAATTTATTCTGTTCTGTATGGAATAATCGGTATTTCGGCTCCTTGTGGGTTTCTCAAGTGTCAAAGTATCCTCTGGTAGAAAACTAAGCAATGTAGCTAACATCTGTCAAAGTTCATTTTTCACATGCTGTCCACAGGAGAAACCACAGCAAAATTTTGGTGGAGTTTCAGGAAAGGAGAATAACCTTCTCCATGGTTTTGTGTGTTATCTACAGGTCTTATACAGATGTCTTGGTTATCCTGGACCATCTTAACATGGCATGAGAAGTCTGAATCTTGCCCAAAGTTAGCTGAGTTACCCTCCAGACTCCATGGTATTGATTAGTCTTATAGGTCTGCGAGCTGACTACACCCCTGGACATATGTACTGAGACCAGTTTAAATATTAGTTTATAATCACTAGTAGCTCAGTGGTTTCATCTTCAAGTTCTCCTAGAACACTTGGATGAGTAGCATCTGGTAGTGGTAATTTTCTTACTCTTATTTAATTTGGTTTTCCTAAAATGCTTTTATTAACAATTAAGAATTGATGTCAATTTACAATTCCATAGATGTCACTCCTTGCAGATAATAGCTGGGGTGAAAGTAACATCTAAACAGACCTTCAGTCTGACTTCAGGAGAAGTTTCAGTGCATGCAAAAGGAGATGTCTCTCAAATTACAGAAGAAGAATCTGCAAGGTTAAATGGCAAAGTGCTCATCTCCAGAGACACAAAGGAGCACAGAGGCATAATCATGAGTGGATGAACTCCACTTTAGATATGTTTACCTTGGTTTACATTCTTACAAGTAAGACCTTATTAAGGGTTTATCTCAAAGGAATGAATTTCACAGGTTGCACCAAGTGATTGAGGAGCCCATCCTGTAGAACAGCAAGGAAAGGGAAGAGGGGCCAGTGGTGTGGCTGAAGGCCAGTCTCCTTCAACACAAAAGGAATGGGGGAATCCCAATAACCTCAACAGAGAAGTGGAGCCTGTGACCTGGCTGCTCCCAGGGTTTTCACAGGACAGAAATCAGCCCGTGGTCCAGGTGAGAAAACCATCAAATGGGTTGACTGGGGAGACTCTCAGGATCACCTCATGAACTAAGAGCAGTACTGCTTACAGGGGATGGGCACACCCTGTGGGACATATGGGAAGTGTATTTTGGGTTTGTACAGGACTTGCAATAAACATTTTGGATAGAAATCAAAGGTCAAAAAAGACAGAAATCAAAGTGTATTGGGGAAAACATAATTTATGATTCTATGAATGTAGAGACAAAAGGGGCCAGTCAACCACATGTGAGCAGGAGATGGTCAGTGCAGGTGTCTGTCTGTCCATACCTCATGCCTGAACAATATAGTCTCTCCTATCTTCTCACTGAACTCCATTTATAGCTGTTTTCTTTGGTGTCAGCAACTGGAGACCATGTCTAAAACCAGAAGCTGAAGAGGTCCTTATTGTGTTTCTTTATTTATATATGTGTATGCTTACATATATGTTTGTGTATTTTTCCTACTAACAGCCTTTCATCCTCATCAGCCAGAGAGGGGAACAGGATCAGACCGTTGGTGCTGCTTGGGAGTGTGAGACCACTGTGTTTTCTGTGTGTGTTGATCTTTGCTGCCAGATGTGTGTATGTCTGGGGTGTGTGTGTATACACATGTGCTTTTTGAGAATTTGTGCTCAGCCACACTATGGGCTGAATGTGGAGCTGTGGCAGCCTCACCTGCTCTTTGCTACGGGCTTTGGTAGCTCCTAACAGGCCCCACACATATTCCCTGAGAAAACTAGATTCTCTGGAACTCAATATCATTGCGTCATACTGCTGAGCTTTGGCCTTTCTCTCATTTTGCAGTAGAAGATACACGTGTCCCCCAGCATGCCTTTTCTTTAGAAAATAGCTTCTTTAGTTTTTTTTAAACATCTCAGTGATTTCTTTAAATTTGAGGATGTGGAATTTTGTGAAGTGCTTTTCATGCCTTCTCCGGATAATCTATTTGACTTTGAATGAGGCGAACTCAAACTACTGAAGCCGGTGAAGTCCTTTCAGTTCTGTTGTAACTTATGCACATAGTTTTATTTTGGGAGTAGTCCCATATGTATCTTAGATACTTAGGGAGAATTGATTGTTCTGTGTTTTAGTTTTCAGCAACTTTCCAAAATTGAAATAAATCATATCTTTAATGTATCCAGTCTTCTAAATGTTGAAATAAAAATGCCATTGGAAAGTTCAGAGTTTATTGATTTTTTTTTTTGAGCATTTTCATATCTAATACAATCACTTGCTTTGCACAACAGAACATTTGCTTTGCTGGTTTCAACTGCCAGCCCTGAGAAATCAGAGTCCTGGGAAACCAAGCCCAGTGCTCTTTTTTCATACTTCTTCAGGGTTAATAAAATCATTGTGAGAATTAGTCTCTTAGCATCGTCTGTGCTACACCATCTTTTTCAAAGCCCATGAAACTATTGCTGTTAATGGATTCATATTGATGTAAAGTATTGGAGCAATTCTGGCACACGACGAGAGGATCCGTTTCTTTCACAGCTGGGTGGGCTCTGGAGCGTGTCAGTCTAAGGCTCAGCAAACTAATTATTGCCAAAGTGACTAAATTACTCAACTGTACATAGAAATAAGTCTATCAGTGAGAACTTGGACTCTTTCACCTCGTCAGCCTTACAAACCACCCTTGACAGGTTGTTATGGTTTGAGATTGCCCCCGCGGGAGCCAGGGGCTTAGAGGTGATTAGATGCCAGGGCAGTTTTCCCTGAGAGCCAATCACCGCTTGTTTTATTCGCTCCTGCTGAAAAATCATATATACACAACCGGTGGAAGTTGTTGGCAATTGGTCTGTGTCTGCTGCTGTGTGTGTGAGGGAAGGCCAGGGGTGGCAGGGCCTCCTTCTTCCCCCTCTGGGGGGAAGGGGGGCCCTGCAGCCCCACAACTCTGCCTAAGCCAGGGTTGGAGGCAGCATTGGAGTGAGTGTGTGTTGTGAAGGAAGGGATTCACAACACCTGAAGGTAAGAGGAAGAGAGAGGCAAGCTCCTTGCGAGGAGGCCAGGCCCTCTTTCTCCCCCCCCCCCCCTTCCAGCCAGACTGCAGAGCTCGGGACAGTTCGTAACTGGACCAAACACCTGTAGCAAAAGCTGAGCGGGGGCTTTTTCCCTCTCACTGTTAAGTGGGAGTGGATGCGAGGCTTAGTATTTTGAAGCCGAACCAAAAGAGACAGGCTGATAACGAAAGCAGCTTGGTGCCAGGGGAAGGAAAAAACCCCAGGCGAAATTGGAGACTGGCCGGAGAGAGGCTCAACGGGTGCCCTACAGAGGTTCAACCGGGGGCAGCCGAAAACTGACTTGGAGGATGTTTGATAAGCTGACTACACTACAGCAACCTACGAACCGAGGTGTGAGAGTGAGAATGACACAGCAGAGACGGCACAGAACCAAGGAGGATGGACTCAGAGCTATCTTCTTGGACTTCGTGACGAAGAAAGGACTTCAGCAAACAGCTGGAGGTTGGTGGAGGGAGTGTTCCGGTTCCCCGAACAGTCCCACGAGAGAAAGACTGCGTTACCTATCAGCCTAAGGGCTTTTCCTGGACTAAAGTTAAAGGGAGAGGCTTAAAGGGGCTGATAGAGGTGTAAAATAATATGTATATAGTTGCTTTTAGCTTGTATAGTATTTATTTGTGTAAACTAAATGTATATATACTTCCCCTTTCCCCTGTAGAAGCCTCTGGCCTGAAAGTTTCTGTTTGGTGTTGAGAGAAATTGTGGGAAGGGGTGGGGGAAGCCTGGAAATTGGATTTTAGATTTCTGTGGTGGCTCAAACCACCACACAGAGTATGTAGTGCGTCAGTTTTCCTGCACATGTTTTAGTTTTTACAGCACAGGTACTAATTTACTTTACTCTAATCTCCAAAACTTTAATCAGACTATTCCAAATTTTTGCATAGTTGGATAGTTGGATCAGATTCGTCTCCTTGCTTTCCCCTCTCCATTATCTTATTGTCTCAAGTTTCTGTTAGAACCCATGGTGCATATGCTGCCTCTGCAGGGTTACTGCATCTAAATACTCTCTCTCCTGAGTCTGACAAGTCCACGGATAATTTTCTGTCTTCCCAAACTTGTGCTTCACCCTACCTGTCACTTGGGGATTCTTTACTTTGCTACATTGTAGTGAATTCTCTGACATTTAAAGTTCTATATTTTTGTTATAATTTCTGAACTCATGTCAGCTTAGTTGAAAGGATCCTATTTTTTATATATAAAAATAAATACATTTCATACATATGTTTATTAAAATTACCCATTCTCTTCCGAAGGTGTTTTCTTTCAAGTCACTGCGATGCCTTGCATCCAGTGATCTTTTCTGGCTCAGGACTCAAAGCTTGCTCTGTCCCTGTGTCATGGTTTGAGATAGTTTGTGATCATGTGTATAATGTGATATGGTATTTATTTGTACAGTCATTGTAATATATTCCCTTTTCCCCACTTTGAGTCTGGTGTGTTTTGTCTGGAAAAACCTCTCTCACATTAGGTTGAGATGTGGGAGGGGGGATGGAGCTAGGGAATTGGATTTTGGGACTATCTCAAACCATGACATAAATGGTAGCAGAGGATGGTTAACGAACCATTGAGGGAGAGAGATAAGAGCCATGATGCTTGTGGTAACAGAAAGAGTTTTCCAGACAAAACACAGACTGTACCATTGTAGAGTAAGTAAGGCTATAGTAATGTAAGTTAAGTATTAAGAGTAAAGTTTGTGATGATGCTATATTGATGTGTAGTAGAGAGATTTTGATTATATTTTAGTTTATTGAAGATTGAATGTTGATTAGAGTTTTTTTTTCAGTTGTTGTGATATGTTGACATTTCGCAGGAGCGAGGGGTGGAGTGTTGTAGTGGTTTGAACCTTGTTCTCCCCAGAGGCTAAGAGAAGTGGTAGACCCCAAGGGGTGGAAACCCCTGGAAGTTTTGAAATTCTGCCCAATGGACGCTCCTGCAGAAATGTAAACATATCACAACCAGACCGGAAAAGAAGAGTTGTAGTTTGGTGGTTGTAGGAGAGGTGGCCATGTTGTAGAGCCACGAGGAAGGGGCTCTGAGCCCCTTGGGCCCTCTGGCCCCCTCCCAGCCCCTGGCTGGGGGGCTGCAGGGACCTGGAACAGCATAAAGCTGGGCTAGGTGCCTGTAGTATGCCGGGAGATGTTTTCTCCATGGGCACAGAGCAGCAGCCGACGCTGACCAGAGAAACAGTGGCAGAGAGCCAGAGATAAGAACCTGAACTGAAGAAGCAGCAGAAGCAACATGCAGCACTGCAGAGGAGACTCCTGGAAGGAGAGTCGAGGAAAGGAGAGCCAGCAGCTGAGAGCTACAGAGTTCTTGGGGGTAAGACTGATACCAGATCCCCAAAACTCCTTTGAGACCTCCTGGAAGGAGGAAGATGATGGACTCTTACTTGAAAGAGCCTTGAAGTGCGACATGCACTGTAGAAAGGAGCTAGAGAGCTCCGAGAGGAATGCAGGGGGAGTTGACCTTGGCTTCCCCCCCCCTTGCACTGCTGCCACGGTGGCAGCCTGAGAGACAGGGCACAGAGGCCCTGCAAGAGATACCAGACCGTCACGAAGACCCCCCTGTGTCTTCGTGATATGACGTGGTGAAACGACCTTGTCTGGGGTTACGAAGACCACGGAAGACCCCTCGGTTGTGAGGCGATGGGGCCGAGAGAGAGGCTTGGATACCTCCCTCGTGGATGCTGGCAGAAAGCCAGCTATCAGCTGCTGCATGCATGAGATGAGAAGAAACCTGCTGCCTCAGAAGATGCTGCTGCTTAAGGACTGGAAGGGATCTGTCCTTCTTTCCCTCCTGGACTTTTATTTGGAGGGGAGAAGAGATCTGATCCATTGTAAATACATATGTCATGGTAGAGATAGTTTGTGATCATGTGTATAATGTGATATGGTATTTATTTGTACAGTCATTGTAATATATTCCCTTTTCCCCACTTTGAGTCTGGTGTGTTTTGTCTGGAAAAACCTCTCTCACATTAGGTTGAGATGTGGGAGGGGGGATGGAGCTAGGGAATTGGATTTTGGGACTATCTCAAACCATGACACCCTGGCTCTCAGTTTTAGTCATGCTGCTCATCATCATGCTGTGGGCTGTTTGTTTATGCTCTGCCTTGTTCATTCAAAACACCTGTATATCTTAAATGCATATCTGAATTAAATTTATTCCAGTATCTCAAATTTCTGCTTGTTTTGTTGGACCCAGGTGGCACAGTTGATTTAAAAGATGAGACTCAGGGGGAGTTTAAGGACTCAGTTGGCAATGATGCTAATAAGCGAATGTGCCCGCGTTCAGTGGAGTTATCTAAGAAATGAAACAAGGTATATTCAGTTGCTGTTGTGTTTGTTGCTGTAGGTGGGAAGCAGAAAAATTCTTTGGAAGGCTTCCTGAGCCCTCTGTACCCTTTCTGTTACAGTGGTGCCAAAGACCACACTAAGAACGGTGCCACAAAGATCACATCCAACAGTGGCACAGTAGTCCCCAGCCCGCCTGTGGACCTGGTTCTTTCTGAACATAGGCATAGTGGTTACAGGCACAGTAAATCCCTGGTGAGGTCCCTATTGGCTTGATAGACTCCAACCAACCAAGAGACCATGGACCTACTGCTCACAAGCTTAATGGTTGTAGCGACAACTCATAGTGGATCTGGGTACAGGGGTTATTTGCCAACATGATAAGAAGCTTTTACCCTATTCAGTTAATGTCTCTCACTACCACGCACACACCCCAGTCCTATGTTCAGCAGGTTCTGAACTCCCAGCAGGAAAGCAAAGTACTAAGTTTTGTTGGTGGGTGCTGCAGTTCCTAGTTATGGACATTACTGGCTTAGGTACCTGGGCATCTCCAGGGTTTGTGTCCATGCATTTCTCCTATCTCCAGGATCTTCCCAGCTTCCAGGATCCTTCTTTCTGCCACGTTCTTTCTTCTTCATAGAATCATAAAACCATATAGTGGTTTTGGTTGGAAGAAAAGTTTAAAGATCATCCAGTCCAAACCCTGTGCCATGGGCATAGACATCTCGCCCTGAAATAACCTGAGACAACAGGAGAAAAATTTGGCTTAGAAAGCGTGGAGCTCTTCAGATGAGGACTCCATACAAGAAGCCTCTCAGATACACCCTTGATAAAATCTTCATAAAATAGCCATGCTCTTGTGACTGCAACA